GGCCTTTCGTGACTGTAGCAGCTACGACTTGACCCTTCTGGACTGTAGCAGCTACGATCTTGACCTTTCGGGAAAACTACAGCTACGACTTCTAGACCTGASTAAGACTCCTACTCGACAGGTCTACAGATCGAACCCCTGCTACCTATAGACCCTACGACGACCTACCAACTGTTACAAATACACAGGTCGCGGGTTCAACTCTAGGGGTCGACACAGATACTGTACACAGGTAAGGTGGGGACTAGGGATCAAGCCCTGGAATCTGCATCAGCTACTGCGAACTGGTGAATACCGTTTCACTCCCGCCGGCCTAAATTCGAGGTCCTCCGAGAATAACTCAGTCCAAGGCAGGACCTTTACCTTTCTGATCTCTTTCGTAGGCTCTAACGATATCGGGAGCTGTCTCTAGAAGTTCTGATCTCGTGAACCAGCGGTCCTCCTCCGGTTCCTGATATGCAAACCGGACCTTATACTGCTTCTGTGGACGACCTCTACCTCCTGTCCTAAACACATCTTCACCCACAATGCCGTCAATGTCATATCTTCCGTCCATGTCCGGAGGGATCATGGACCGTCTAGAGGGAAACTGCTGACTTGTGACACACGGCAGCAACTTCGAGGCGTGAAATACAGGGTAGGTGTGGAGGTGTGCTGGTATCTCTACGGTGTAGGATGGTCCATCCTCTCCGCCCTTAACTTCCAGAACCGGCCATGGTCCTCTATATGCGGGCAGTAACTTCTGCGAGATGTTTTCCTCAGGAGCAAACTCTTTAGACTTGACCCAGACCAGGTCGCCTACCTGAAACTGCGATGGGCGACGGTGCTTATTAACCTGTTCTATCATGCGGCGTTGGGCCTTCCTGAGGTTCTCAACAACAGTCACTATCTCTTTCTCGTGTTGTATTGCGAACTCCCTGGTACCGGGCGGTAGCGTGTGGATCTGATCCCGGTTCAGTCCTTCAAACGGTGTACGTGGACTAAAGGCCTTGTGTAACTCGTTGGGAGTGCGACAGGTAGACAAATGTACATTGTTATTGTATGCGATGGCTACCTTGGGTAACATCTCGTCCCAGTTAACCTGATCGGGTCTAATGTACATGCTCAGAACTTGCTGCAGGATCTTGTTCATCTGCTCTGTCTGACCGTTAGTCTCTAGATGGCGGCCAAACGACATCAATAACTTTGACCCATAGACTCTCATGAGTTCCTGCCAGTTTTGGCTGGTGAAGCGACTATCTCTATCGCTAACTATGGACAACGGGACTCCATGTTCACTAACCCAACAATCGAAAAACTTCTGAATCACTAACTCTGTGCGTGCCTCTGCAGGCAAAGGAACAAAAACAGCATACTTGCTAAATCTGTCAACTACGACCATGACTTGGCTCTTGCCGTGCCTACTCTTCACACCGGCATCCATGAAGTCGATGAAGACTGGATCTCCAGGCTGGTCTGGAATGGGCAAGGGTCTGAGAAGGCCTAGAGGGGCACGCGTAGTAGTCTTGTTTCTCTGACAGACAACCGATTTTCATTCCTGGCCAGGTGTACTCGTGCATAAGATTGGCCAAAGTCTTTTGCCAACCAAAGTGTCCCTCTGTATCATGGCATTCCCCTAGGATCTAACTGAGAATTTCCTCACTGTTGGGAATGCATAGGCGGTCTACTACATTAGTCTTCTCAAATAGTAAACCCTCTGTAGTGCGGTAATCCGGCTCAGTCTTTGGGCCCTCCTTAACTCTCTTGAGGAGGTCACTATAGATAGGGTCCTGCGCATACGCCTGTCTAACTTTCTCCTGCAGGTCACTCCCTATGTCCAGATAGTGAACTATGGCTCCAAAGTAGTCTGATCTCCTACTCAGAGCATCCGCAACTACATTGTACTTGCCCTTAACTGGTTTGAGCTCGAAGTCATATTGGTCTATCTTAGCGGCCCACCTAGTCAACTTAGGTGTCATCGTGGCCTGTGTCTTCAGCCATCTAAGAGTCTCATGGTCTGAATACACTTTGAAGTGCCTCCCAAGCAGGTAATGCTTCCAGTGCTCTAAGGCCTGCCTGAGAGCGTAGAGTTCTCGCTCATAAGTCGAGGTAGCAGCCTTCTCTGAGGTCATCCTCGCTGACATGAACTCTACGGGTCTATAGCCGTTGTCGTCGTCTTGCTGCAATACGACACCTATCCCATACTGACTTGCGTCCGTAGTGACGACAAATGGCAAAGACGGATCTGCTACCTTGGGGACAGGATACTTTATCAATGCGCGCTTTAATTTCTTTAGCGCAGACGTACAGTTTTTATCCCATTGCCAGATTGTCTCTTTCTTGAGCAACCTGCGCAAGGGAGCGACAATGGTGGAGAAGTTCCTCACGAACTTCCTGTAATAATTGGCTAAGCCCAGAAACGACCACAACTCTGTCAATGTGCGGGGCGTCGGCCAGTCTCTAATTGCCGCTATCTTACTGTCCTCAGGCTTGATCCCATCTCCGTCTAATACGTGGCCCAAGTACAAAACTTGCATCTTGGCCCACTCACACTTCTTCGCGTTG